GGAATTGATGTGTCCAAAAGCACATGTATTTTAAAGCTTGATATTGCCAAAATGGCCTTCAAAAATGTACTATTTTATTCTATTTTTTTGCATTTTGCTTGTATTTATTTATTTATTGTTATTACTGAGGTATGATTGACATATAACATGTTAGTTTCAGGTGTACAACATAATGACTTGATATTTGTATATATTGTAAAATAATCACCACAATGTCTGGTTAATATCCATATACTATTTTATGTTCTCAAAGCGCATGTGAATGAATGCTTGTTTATCCATAACCTCACTAACTCTGAGTATAATCAATATTTTTCATCTTTTCTAATTGTATAGGTGAAAAATTAACTCTCATTTCTGTTCTCAATATATTATTTTAATGTTTTGTTAGAAACCTATGATATGATTGTTACATAATTAATTTAACCTGTTCCCTATTATAAGGCTTTTAAGTTTCTTCTTAATTGTGCCTATTATAAAGAATTGTATTAAATATCTTACTAGTTATTTTCCATTTGTAAATGGTACATATTATTAACACAGTTTGAATTGTTTTAACAGAATTGTAAGTTTGTCTTTTTTATCCTGTAGCAAAATCATCTGGGAGAATCCTTGGTTTATGAGAATGTGTACACACGTGTGAATTTGCATATGCTTGTATACATGCTTGGGTGTATATCTGCAATTTCCTAGAACAATTCTCTCTTTCCTTCTGCTCCTTCATTGCTGCTTTTCACTTGTGGTTTCTCTTTGTATATTCAGGTCCAAGTCAAAGGATTGATACGAGGAATTTAGGTCTATAAACTTCGTTATAGTAAATTATTGTGACTGCCATTAAGTATTTTCCTAGGATGTATACCTAAGAATGGATTTACAGACTCAAAAAGAATACATATTTTAAGACTTAGCAATTACCTATGTACTATGCAGAAAGGTTGACTAATTTATATTTCATGACCTGGAAATAAGTGAGAAAGTCCTTGGGGGTAGTGCAGAACATGCCCAAAAATGTTTGCATTGAATGGCTTTCAGATGACAGCCATCAACAATAGACTTAAGCACCCTTAAGGAGGAGCAAGTGGACTCTTACCCAGCAAGGCAGCATAGCATGACACAGGCCAGGGTAATGGTAGGGACACAGGGCCTAGATTCAGTCAGACTGGTCTCCTCTTTTCTTCCCACCCTCTATGTCCTACCCACCCTCTGAGGCCTAGGTCAAGGTCATTTTCCTCCTTGAGGCTGTCTCTGTCTAATTGGCTAACTGGCTCCTGTTGGCCTGGAAGTCCACCCTTTCCTTTAACCCCTTCTCCAAATAGCTTCATGTGAGAGGGTTCTGCCTTTGCAGTTATATCTTCTATTCCATCCCTAGGGTGAACCCACAGTGCATGTGGCCCATTTTCAGGAAGATATACCTGGAGAAGAGGCACAAGCAGGCCTTGGATTTGGACTCCAGGTCCTTTGGGCAGGATATTCTAGGGTCCTAGGTATATAGAGTGTGGTTTAGAAGAAAAGAAATGAAGCCTCCAAGTAGACACATCTTGCCCCATTGATTCTTCTCTACTGAGGGAAGAAGGCCTCGAGAGGAGAGCCAGACACACCCTCTAAAAGTGGGATCTCGAGTGGAGGCCTTTACTGCTCAGATCTAAGGAGATAATAATGTCTTTGGGCATATTGCTTAAACTCTCTGTTTAGTTTCTTCATATACAAATAGAAATGAAAATATCTTCCTTGCGATTGTTGTTAGGAGTATAAAATGAGATAATGGCAGCAAAGCACCTTTCCCTTTTCAGACGATCTAGAGATTTCTGGAACTATTTCCATCAAGCTGGAGAAAAACAGCTGCCATTCAGGATGTTTCAGTCTTCCTAAGGGCAATATATTCATATGTTTTACCAATCATATACTTCTTTCTAAAGTTCTTAGAGCTTGCCTGTGCTCTCCTGTTTTAGAGTTACAGGGAGTGCCAGAGCCCGCCGGCAGAGTCAAACGGTCCCGAGAGTAGGGGTGAGGATGGAGAAAAGACAGACACAAAAAAGATGGGATCGGGAGGGCTGCGGCTCGTGACAGCTGCAGCCCCGAGTTTATTTTCCAAGCTCAATTTATACCGGCGCTGTTGTTTTTGCTGAATAGCACCCTGCCCCGCATTCCTTCCCCATGCCGGATACAAAGTAGTTCTCTCCAGGCCGCACAAACACACCTTCAGCATAAACACCCTGCCTCCTGCAGGAGCTCAGACCTTGGTAACTATCTTTGTCTCGGCTTCTAATGGGAACTTGTTGGGAAGGATTGAGTCCTTGGCTCGGTATGTAGCTTGACTGTTCCTTAACCCTTCAGGCCAGGGCCAGCTTCCTAATAAGCCTTTCTAGAATTTAAGGCCGCAAACTAAATTAGTATCGCCTTGGTGCCTCAAGGTCTAGGTCAGGGAGCAGGAGAGCACTTCTGCAGCTCACCCAGGCAGCTCCTCTGTGCCTGGGGCCACAGCAGCTCACCCACATCTCCCAGGGAGCAGGAGAGCACTTCTGCAGCTCACCCAGGCACTGTGCCTAGGGCCACAGCAGCTCACCCACATCTCCCAGGGAGCAGGGGAGTACATCTGCAGCTCACCCAGGCAGCTCCTCCGTGCCTGGGGCCACAACAGCTCCCTACAAGGGAGAGTAACTTACTAAAGGGTCACACAGTCAGTTTGTAACAGAGTGAAAAGCTCAACCTCTCTAACTCCATCTTGTTCAAGCCAACTCTAATCTCATGGCCTTCACATTGATAGCTTCTTGCATATAGACATGGAAGTCATTGGAGGAATTCTGCTTTCGGTTTGAGGTTTACAAAAACAGCCCCTTGCCAGAGGATGACTCTTCTAAGGAGATAAGGGAAGTATGTGTTGTTTATCAAATACTTGCAGGAACCTTGTGACCTGGACTCACATCAGCTAGGGTCAACTGACTAAACACCATCTTCCTCAGACCTCTGCTGGCGCCCAGATGTCTGTGGTCTTCAATCACCTCTTGCCCCTCCCACTTCCCCTCCCCTAGACATAAAATAAGACTGAAATCAGTATTTTAAGGTGGATTTAAGCATTAGGTTTCCCATTTTCTCAGTTGGAACCTTTCCTTACTCTAAACTCTGATGTTTTGATTTTTGGCCTTTAGAAGCAGTGGGCACAACTTTGGACCAGTAACACATTCTAGGTCTGGCACTGTAACTAACCTCTCCCATCTCTTCCGCTAGTGCTCTGTCCATCAGACCCAAACCATTATATCTTGGGATTTCTAGTGCTCAAATACACACACTTCCCAGAAGAAAGAATAATATGACAGAAGAGCAAGTGAAATAAAGTGATGTGGGGTTTTTTTCTTTCCACATAACCCAGCAAGGTCTTTATTCTGCCTCACAAAGGGTCGCCAAAACTTACACAAAACAAAAGTACATGTTTATGTCTCCTCATCATTTTTCAAATGTTACCACTGAGAGCTATGCAATTTTTATTGGCAAATGTATGACTTTTTACCAAAGACTGAGCTGAAGTTGAAAGATAACCAAAATCCATTGAAGACTTTATTTATATAAGTGAAGTGCTTCTCTCCAAATGTTATTTAGAATTCCCAACAGTCAATTATATGAGGTGCATGTTATTCCCTTCTTACAGATGAGGAAACACCTGATGATTCTGCAGGTAGCACAGCTTCTCGGCAAATATCACCACCAGGGCTCTGGAGTGAAACATCACTTTTTCCCCCCGTTTTGAATCCTTTTCCTCAAGTGAAATCCTAATATAATCATAATAATAGCTTGTACTTTTAAAGCACTTACCATATGCCAGGCCTTGTTCTCAGGACTGTACAGGCATTAACTCATTTTTTAAAATGTTTGAAATTTATTAGTCTCATTGATTTCTACCAAGAAAAAAAGCCCAAGCCCCTAAAGAGGCTAAATTATTTGGCTAGGTGATACAGGGTCATAAGTCTGCTGTCACCAATACCACACTTTGCAAGTGTGACAGAAATACTGAATTCCAAAAATTAGAGCCTATGAAAATATGTCCCTTGTGAAAATTTACAAGTGTGAATTCTCTCCCTTGAATGTCATAGGTTGATTTGTTCCTGAGTATGCTTAAGTGAGAGTTTTCTCCAAGTCTCTTGATTCCTGCTAACACCAAAACGGAAACTCCAAGTCTCCACACTACATGACCCTTTCCAAATAAGTAGGAATACCCTTCTTTATTGCTGTTGCTCTGGAAGAAACTGATTCTTAAAATATAGTCTGGGTGGCTTGAGGTTCTATTCTGAGATGACCTTAGCATCTTCTATATATATGTATATGTTTTTCATTTACAGTTGAGATTCAATATTATATTAGTTTCAGGTGTACATCACAGTGGTCAGACATTTATATAACGTACAAAGTGAGCCCCCCGATAAGTCTAGTACCCACCTGGCACCATACATAGTTATTGCACTATTATTGACTATATTCCCTATGCTGTACTTTACATCCCCTGACTATTTGTAAGTGCCAATTTGTGCACATTAACTTATTTAACTGAAGTAATTTTGTCCTTTCTGGCTACAGAAGAGATTTTACTAAAAACAGAATATAAAAGTATTAAAAATAAAGTAAAAATTACATTCAAATATCTCATTCCTGTCCCAGGCTGTTTTGTTTTTTTTTGTTTTTTTTTTACAACCTGCTGACAAACCAACCCAAAGACCAGATTGCATGAAATGGAGGCTGAGGGAGGGGCGATGGCTGTAGGAGTTCTTAATATTGGAAGCAGAAGGCAGGAAGAGAATTCTATAAAGAAGTAAAAAAGTTTAGTAGCTCCAGAAAAAGATGCAGCCCCTCCCAAGTAATCAGAGAAAGGCAGATAGAATTTTCCCCCTGGGAGTCTCAACACAAAAAAGACTGACAGAGCCAAATGTATAAGGGGGGGAGGGGACAGAGGGAGGGCTTACTTATGCCGCGCTTTTGGTGGGAGTGGAAATTAGGGACCCGAGCTCACTGGTGACGTAGATCTCACGTGACCAGGAGTCGACGTGTGCAGAAGTCCTGCTAGTCTGGTCCTTGTTCCCGTCTGGGTACCAGCTTCCTTCTGCAGCTCCACAGCGCGGCCTGAGACTGAGGAAGGAGAAAGAGTCAGTTGGCCTGGATTTTGCAGGTTGGTGTCAAAATAGATGCTGCTTGGGGATTTCTAGGATGGGGTGGCCTAGGGCAGAGACCTGGTTAAGTCCACCTCTTCACTCCCACCTCTGCGTCTGCAGGAAATGATGACCCTTGGGAAAGGGAGGGACTAAGGGTCTCGGGAGAAGGACTGGGAGACCTGGGATAGTTTAAAAATAATCAACCTCTGCCATCTCAGGCCACTTTCCCAACCCCGACCCTTCCCCCACCCCCCACCTCAGTCTTAAAGATAGTTCGGGAATAATCTGCCTTTCCTATACTCCCTGTCTGATGGGAAATTTGAGCTAACTTGCGCTGTGGAGAGGGGGGTAACTGGGGGAGACAGAGGTGAGAAAGTTTCCATAACCGAGAACCTTAATGAGGAAAAAGGTACGCGGTGCTGGTCAGCAGGCGC